AACGATCTCTGGCTCTTAGTTCAGCACTCCCGGTGCTGGAGTGAGGGTGGCGGGAGGAGAGGGGAGCGTTCCAGCTGAGCCAGGATGAACGGGCGACCGCGTGATCCGGACGTCGTGTACTAATAGTGGTAATAAATACTAATGAACTGAATTAGTAATGGACTGATCTGCTATTAGTCACTGACTAATAGCCAGTGACTCGGGGCTGCTGCAGAGAGGACAGAGTCCAGATCAGCGGGGCTGAGAAGTTGATTCGGCAGCGGGGCTGGCAAGCAGGGGAACGTGCTCTGGGGCCGGAGAGGGTTCGGCATGGGCAGTGTCACGCCTTGCCACAGCCCTGGGGAGAGGGGACAGCCCCAGGCGGGTGGCAGGGGCTCTTGCCGGTGCCCTCGGCCACGTCCTGGTTCTGCTGAGGGTGATGGGACGTGGTTTGGAGTTAAAGCAGAGCTGGGACTCGGGTTTCTTGCTTTTGGTGAACACGTGTCCTCTCCTCGGGAAGGTACGAGAGCGTGATCGCCACCCTCTGCGAGAACCTCGACTCTCTGGACGAGCCCGAGGCCCGGGCTGCCATGATCTGGATCGTGGGAGAGTACGCCGAGCGGATCGACAACGCCGATGAGCTGCTGGAGAGCTTTCTGGAGGGCTTCCACGATGAGAGCACCCAGGTGCGGTGGGATGGGGGGACAGGACAGCCCCCCACGCGATGCGGGTGATCTGGCCGCCAGCACGACCAGCTGGCTGAGGGGTGACACTGTGCCAAAGCTTGTGCTAATCGGAGTGTAACGAAGCAATTTGCTCTAGCCGGGTCGTGGAGGTGTTTTCCTTGCAGGTGCTCGGGGCAGTGGTGTCCCACAGTAGCTTTGGGTGTAGAACGTGGCCCATGAAACGCCACCGCGGTGGTGTCCCAAGCACCTTCCCTCCTTAATAGCTGGGAAGGACCAACTGGTCGTTCCTCTGTGCCAGGACAGGATCGGCCCTTTGGAGCTGGAAGACAGAGTCAGACGGCTGAAATGAGCAGAGGGACGTGCCTGCCCCTTCTGCCAGGGCAGCTGAGGCCGGTGGTTTCGCCTGTGGAAATTCTGGGGGGGTTTCATCTATGGAGAACTTCCTACAAGCCCCTCTGCAAAACACCGTGAAACTTGAGTCACGGTGAACCAGGGGAAAGTCTATAAATTCAAAATAGCAAAGCCAGCGATCCTGGCCGCCCTGTCTCAGGTCTAAAGGGACCGTCGGAGGTGAATCGCTGCTGCTTGTCCTCATAAAAGTCAGAGGATGCTCTGGCCTTCGCCCTTGTGGGACTGTGTTAACCCGGTCCCAAGATCTTGCCCAGTAACCTCTACGTCAACCCGTGGCTCTGACGGGCTGAGGGTGTGGTAATCGGCTTGAAACGGGCTGCAGGCCTGGCTGGCAGCCGTGCAGGGTGCCCTGACGCTTGTCATCGCCGCTTAAGCGGTCGCCGCGTGTTTGGTCCCTCGAAAGGCAGGTTGGGGTTACGTCCCGGCAGCGCGTAAGGGGAAAAATTCACGCGTTCTTGCACGAAAAGAGCGCGTGCTGTCTGTCTGCCTCTCCCTAAAGTTTGTTTGTCCGCCCGCAGGTTCAGCTGCAGCTGCTGACGG